ACGCGAAAACGGCGAAAACGGCGAAAACGCGAAAACGGCGAAAACGGGAAAACGGCGAGAACGATGAAAACCGTTGTCTTGGTTTTCTCGTTTTGCCGGTTTTCTTGGTTGCGGTTTTCACGCTCAAAGGCAAGACAAGCAAGAAGACGTAAGCAAACTGGAAAAAGCTTCCACACAGGAAAACGCGAAAACGGTTTTCTCGGTTTTCTCGGTTTTCTCGGTTTTCTGGTTTTCTCGGTTTTCTCGGTTTTGTCGTCGCATCGCGCGGGCCACGACGCAGGTTTTGTGTTCTTAGTCTCCGGGGCTCCCCAGTCAGAGGGGAAGAGTTAGTGTGCGACCAGGAGGTGGCATACTGACATACGGGATGTACAGGTACTCCTCCGCAACGGAAAAATGACCCGTCGCCAACTGGTTTTGGTGTCCAATCAGTTTCAAGCCTTGGGAAGAATAACACTTCATCTTGACATCTTGGGTTGACCCAGCCATCCAAGCAAAATCCAAGGCTGTCACTGGGGGCGGGCTTCTTAACCAACTCGCCGCATCAATCGATGCAGATGTGGTTCTTCGTCTGAAGTGATGAAGCCCGAAGAAAGGCGTCCGATCTCGACCGGGGACGTGGGTTTCGCCCCAAGCCCACCACCGACCCACCTGCTTCTTGCACACCGGTCCGTGGCATGAAACCGCGTGCATGGAGAAGGAGGAGAAACAAGTCGCTCCAAAACCACCACGTCTTCGCCACAAAGCACAAAGACTCTTGGCATTATCAAAAAAACATGGACATGACGGACATGGAAATGGAGGGTCATTCCTGGTCATCTGAGGTGGCCATGATCGTCCAGCATCCACATGACGTCTCTTTCTCCGAGACCTCCCAACCACCCGCCCGCCCGAACCCATAAAATAACAACGACCCGTTCGGCTGCCGGCCCCCGAACGGCCCAACCGGTGGGTCTCCCCGACAGCGAATCCCAACGGCGGTCCGTGTTGAGCGCCAGCGCCGCGTCGTAGAGGCGCCGGAAGAAGGGCCAGGGATGCCAAGCGTCATTGGCCGGAGGACACAGAACGAAACTGCACTTCAGCTTCCTGACAAACCGGAGGCAGTCGAATACCCCCAACATGAAAAGAAAACAAACAGGATAAGTCACGAATCTTCCTTCTTCGTCAAAGTTTTGGGTTTTGCTCTTCTCAATCTCCTTCCCGCCACCTGTACCTGGGAGATCCACACCATGACCGTGGCGCTTTGCCCGTGTAGGACGAAGCACTCGTTACGGAGCAGCGGCCGGGGTCGGAACAGATCCGAACGAAGCCACTCCGATCTCAAAAGGAAAATGACCACAGAAAAAGACAACCCTTTTCCTCTACATGCGCGCTGTACTTCTTCCATCCATGTTCATGTGGGACGGCCTAATTTCAAAAACATAATATGTTGTACGATATTTTAGGAGGTTTTACAATCATAGTGAGCGTTTTATTCATCAAGAGTCAACCCCCATCATCGATCCTCAGCAGACCAAGAGTCCCCCGCCGCTTTTTAAGGACGATGAAGTGGCCGTACCCTGGAAGTACTGAGGACTGCTTGGTGTCAACCCCCGGAAGCAGAAACAGTTTCAGCTTCATAACAATCATAAGAACTTCACCCCCAAAAAAATAAGAAAAACTCAAGACTTTCCCACACGTCCGAGGAAACCTGCTGTCCAGCTTCTTGCAAAAGCCACTCAAATCCACCCCACCATCGCTCAGCACAAAGATCCGCGCTTTCGGATAAACCTTCCTCACTTCCTTCACTTGTTGGATCGCCACCCCAGCTTGCTCGCCCACGCGCAGGTAGAACCCCACGCGCTCGGTCGACAAGGGCGGCCCCGGCGCATTCGGCGCGACCAGGGGCGCCGCCAGCGGCGCCCGCGCACGGAGCGCGTCGAGGGCGTCCAGAGCACTGGAAGGCGGAGCAGGAGCTGCAAACAGGGCCCGGGAGGAGTGCACCACCTGGCGATGGGAAGGAGAGATGAAGAGCGGACATCTTGCAGGAAGCACGGCCCCAGGATCTACATGGGATTCCAAACACGCCCCACACACATGATTCACATGAAATGCCCAAGTGATGCTGGCAGAACGGATTCCTTCCACATCTCTGTTGGCTGTGTCATGTGGCAGCGGAGCTGGACCTCGAAATCACAGAAGCCCGACCCGTACCGACCCCAAGGTTGACCCCACCACCTATTGGGCACGTAGCTTTTGGTTGCATCCCATCAGGCTTAGAAGAAAAAGAAAGGTGTGGCAATTGCTTCGGATTGGTATCTTGCTTGAACCCTTACCATCTCCTGACTTCAATGTAGCACTCTGGAGGCTTCTTGCCCACCAGCAGTCGGGACTCTTGTTGCATCTTGGGCTACTTCCGTCTCTTCCGTTCCACTGCCTCACTTCCACTGCATTCCACTTGAAAAAGACCTTCCACCGAGCCGCAGCAATCGCCACAATGAGACTCAAGGGAAGCAAGACCCGCCAGAGGACGCGCGACATGATGCGACTCCATCGGGGGGACGAGTCGCTCCTTTTGTCGCCAGCTGGCCTCCCTGGTAGGCTGTTTCTTCATTTCTACCCCTACCCGGTAGGCTGGTCAACTTGGATTTCAAACACAGGGACTACACATGTACTGTATAAGCGCAGAGGGCTTGTATGGGCTGATGCGATGTTGTTCACATAAAGCCGAGAAATCCAAAGAACCACTAGCCGACCTCAACAATTGAGCGGCTACCTGGACCTCCAACAATTTCTCAGTGACACACCTGTTGCAGTGGAGTTCGCATGCTCCCAGCGAACATTCTCTTCCATCGGACACATGGCGTTTGCTGTTTGAATGAGCACCGTCACCATTTGCGTCGAGCTGGTGGATGAACGTCTGGCAATCACCCGGGGTTTTAGTCTTACTTGTTCTCCACACCCTGACATTCTCACCATCCACAAGCTACATAGACATAGACCAAAGGGTCGTTGTGCCCGCTACTGTTGAGGTCACTTCTTGACGACCACACACACTCCATGTCTGCGTGCGGACCGGGTCCGTAGGTCACCTGAGCCGAACTTCCTCGGACCGTCCGGTGCGGAACCACGTCACTTCAAGCGAAATCGCCATGTCAGCCGGGCACTGGGAATTCTGGCAGAAGGCTCTACAAAAGGTCCAACAAGCATCAAATCGACCTACGTCCTATGGCTCTTTTGGTTGTCCAAAAACTCCGGACGTGAAGACAAAACCCGGTCCTCCTTAATGATCGTCTCACCCTGCTTGGCGTTCTTCAGCTCCTGGTGATCAGTGCCATGCAGCAAATGCAGGACCAGGTCCACGAAAAACCGCTGGCGATCGTCTGATCGTGGGATGCCCTGTCTCTATGGGATTGGGATGCCCATACCGGCCGCGGGGTAGAAGAATGTCCCGTTTGGGCAGGTAATGTAGGCTCTTGATTTCTTGATAAATTAGCCCACCCCATTTCAATTGAAAAACCTCTGGATTCATACAGGGGGGTGCATTAATCAGGAGTCTGAGTCTACATTCTATCTGCTATGGTCTTGAAAAAAGTGGCAGCTTCTTGTTTGCTCGCCTCCCCAGGTGTGTCACCTAATTACCCAGCCAGACTCGGGACCGACCTGAGCCACGCCTTCGCTCCATCCGAACACCTCCATCCGACCCGGCCGCTGCTCGACCGACCGTCGCCTGTTGGAGGCCGACTGCGGAGACCAGGGTGATGAGATCCAACATGGTCGAGTCGGCAGGTCGAGCCTCGGCGACGGCGGGGTCCTCCAAGCGCGAAAACCCGCGCGAACACCGGGTGGAAACAAACAAACAGGGAGAAAAAACCCTCCGGGGGGGTCGCAGTTGGTACCAACAAACATACTGTTACTATTGGTTGTTCACTGAGGGGTGCCCTCTTTATGAACACACCGAGCAATACAGTAGTTCAAGGTAATCCATGTTGCGCATTGTCTGGCCAGCTTCCCTCAGAAAGTGAAGGTGGCCTGTCAATGTCACGAATGCACATTGGTAGATTTCATGTTTTCCGTTCGCTGTTGGGCTTACGAGGGCCCTTGACCGCCAATCGACCGCTACGCCTTTTGCAGAAATCGCTGCGCTTTTCACTTCGACGGGATCGAGACTTCGAGGGCTTGTCATCCCCTACAACGAGATTGGTAGCGGAGCTGGACACGATCCTCTCCGAGTATTTGGACGGTGCACCACGTGTTTGAAGTTCTCCCGGTGATCCTGTGAAAGGACATAGAGGTGAACATCTCACCGTTCGAGTACGGCTTGGCAGCTACGATGAATCGTGGCGCAGGGACTGCAGAAAGATCGGAGCCACCGAGGAGAACGCAGAGAAGAGTCCGGACCCCAAGGGAAGAAGACTTTCCTGAAGATCTACTACAACCACCTCGTGCTAATGGAGGTTCCCCCGGACGAACTGGTGGCAGCAACTACAAAGGTTTGGATTCTGGACTGTCCAAAGCTTGTCCAGACACCGACAAGCTCAACCAGAAGAACTACAGAAGTTTTCGAAGAAGAGTTGAACTGTTCGAGAGACAATGTCATAGAAGAAGTGTTGACGCCGCCATCGAGGGTACGCTTCTCCTGATCTCTCGATTGCAGGACTTGGCATGGGATTCCACTGAGCAGATCTCCTTCGAAGCCTTGGAAAGGAGCAGTCGCCCCTTCACCTTTGTGTATGAGATCCTGGACAACCTGTATCAATATGAACAACAGGTTGAGGTTCCAACTCGTTGTGAAGAGTTCTTTGCCGAGTTCCAGCGCTTAAAGAATGAGGACATGACTTCCTACCTGGTCAGGCACCGGACTTTGTTGAAGAGAATGAAGGAAGTTGGAGTGGAAATGCCAGCTCTCCTATCTGGTTGGCATCTTCTCACCCGTGCCGGTGTTCCTCGTTGGACTCATGTCCAGGTGAAGGCGCTATGCCAAGGGGAGCTGGAGTATGAGAAAGTCCACAAGGCGCTGATGAAGATGTTCGGAGGAGACCATCGGCCAAATCCCAAAGATCTCATGAAGATGACTGGAAGCTCCAATGACGTCATGTTCGAGGACGACTATGACATCGACGATGAAGAAGGCTTCTATGAAGAAGAAGATTTGGAATGGTGGGACGATGAGATCCACTACGAAGAAGATGAAGAGTGGCCTGAAGAAATGGACGAGGCAGCTGACGCTGTCGATGAAGCTTTCATCTCCTACCTGGACAGCCGACGAAGAATGCGTGAGTTGGCCCTCTCAAGAGGATTCTTCCCCGTGGTAGCTCTCGGTCCTGATGTCGAGGGCAAAGGAGGAGGAAAAGGAAAAGGCAAAAGCTCTTCGAAAGGAAAGGGCAAAGGCAAAAGTTCCATGAAAGGAAAAGGAAAAGGGAAGAGTGGCTTCCGCAGAACCTTTGACAACCGTCGACCTATGTCCGGATTGCGGAGACCTACCAGTTCAAGCAACAGCTCGAACATCAACGACATCAAGTCGACCTTGTCTGGCTCTACCGGCCAACATGGACCTCGCTTCAAACGTTTCAGAGTTCAGTCCAATGGTGTCAAAGAGGTTCCTGAAGAACAAGTTTCTATGGTGGAGGAGAATGCAACAGTTGATGAGTGCTACTTTGCGGCACTACTTCCTGGACAGGCCATCATCGACTCAGGTGCTACCAGGACCATCGTTGGCGAAGATGTCTGGAAGGAATGGCTATCCTTCGCAGGTGCCCTGGATGTCAAGATCACTGAGGCCACCCGTGACTTCAAGTTTGGAGGTGGTGAAGTCCTGAGATCGAGTTATGATGTCACCTTTCCTGTAGCTCTTCAAGGACAAGATTTGGTCGTGACTGCTTCTGTGGTGCCAGGAAAGACACCCCTTCTTTTGGCCCGACCTACGCTTGAAGAGTGGAAAGTGCAACAAGACTATGAAAAGGGTATGCTGCGCATCATGAATTCAGACTGGTTCAAGCCTGAACGTGGCCGCAAAGGACACTACATCGTGAACCTGTTTGAGAACAACACCATGGACGAGACCAGCTTGGTTGAAGAAGCGTTGGCCATCCCTGAGGAGATCCAAGTGATCATGCGAGAAGAGACAACTTGCTGGGAGATCGAACCTAGCATTCACAAGGAGGTGGAAGACGCCAATGAGTGGGTGCAGCTGGATTTCGAAGATAAAAGTTTGATCCATGAGGTGCTCACCAACATCCATTCGAAGCCCAAGATGAATTTCTTTGAGGTATATGTGGATGAAGGACGACTGGCGACCACTTTGGTTCAAGAGCATGAGGATGTGGAAGTGGCAACTTTCACCTTGCCTGATTGGGACTTCAGCACCATTGAGGCACAAGAGAGTTTCATCAGCCTGCTGAAGCGCATTCGTCCTGAGCATGTCTGGCTTGCGCCTCCTTGCACAAAGTGGTCATCCATGCAGAATCTCAATGCCCTGACGCCTGAAGCTCAAGAAAAGTTGAAGAAAGAAAGATGTCAGGAAGAAAAAGATCACCTCAAGTTCGTGGTACAGGTCTTCGACGTCTGTGCCGATGCTGGACTTGGTGTCAGCATGGAACATCCACGAGGAGCAGAGTCTTGGAAGACCAAAACTATGTCAGAGATGGACATGACCTATTTGATGGATGCCGAATGCGACCGATGCCAGACTGGCTTGTGTGTGAAACTTAGCAATGGCATGATCGGCAAAGTGAAGAAACCAACTCGCATTCGGACGAACAGTCCATTGGTGTATGATGCCTTGAACCTCACCTGCAATTGCGCTCCTGGAGAGCATGTGAAAATGGAGGGCCGATCTCGTGAACTCAAGCACTTGCAGAACTATGAGAGAGGCTTTGTTCAGCGTGCAACTGAGGCCATCTACCGTGACATGTGCAAAAGATGGCATGACAATGAGATGCTGAAGATCTTCGTGACTGACGAGCTGGACGAGCTGGAGGTGAGAAAGGAGAAAGAAGAAGAAAAGAATGTTCAGAAAGAAGACAAAGAGCTGATGAGAACCCACGGAAGAAAAGCTTGGCAAATTGTGAACAAGTTGCATCGTCAGCTCGGCCATCCTGGACGCGAAAAACTGATTCACGCTCTCAAAGGTGCCAAATTCCCAGAGGAGGTGATCCAATGTGCTCGCAAATTCACTTGCGAGATTTGTCAGAGCGAAGCTCCAAAGAAGTTGGCTCATCCTGCTTCCCTCGATGAAGCCAGCTACTTCAATGAAGTCATCGAGATGGACACCTTCCACCTGAAATGGGGAGACGAGAAAGTCAAGATCCTCGCGATCATCGACCTTTTCACCAAGTATGAAGTGAACGCTGTCTTGCCTCGAGAGACAGAAGCTGCTGAACTGAAGATCATCGAGGACTTGTGGTTCCATCCCTTTGGATTCCCAATCAAGCTCAAAACTGATGCTTCAGGTGCTCACATGAGCCAAAACTTCATCGATGCCATGGACGGCTACAAGATCAAACTTGTTTTGATTCCAAAGGAGGCACACTATCGCCTGGGAACCATTGAACGCCTGTATGCAGTTCGCAGATTGCAGCTTCTCAAGATGAGGAAAGAAATGCCTGACATCAAGCTTGACACCGCAATTCGTGTGGCCTGTGACCAAAGAAATCGTTTGAGAACTGTACACGGCTCTTCACCTGCCGAGATGGTCTTTGGTCGCGCTCCCAATGCTGTGTCAGGCCTACTTGATGAACCACAAGATCTACGCCCAGAGCTTCCTGTGGCTGTGCAAGAGAATGTCACCATGAGAGTTGCTGCTGCCAAGGCTTTCCATTCAGCCAATCATGATGCTTTGCTTCGTCGCTCGCTCCTTGCTCGACCTCGTGCCGAACATGAACCTTTGTCTCTCGGCTCCTGGGTATTCTACTGGAGGCAAGGAGACCAAAAGCTCGAACCTTCCCGCTGGCGTGGACCGGCCATTCTGTGCATGATTGAGCCTCGTGTGACCGATTCAGGTGCCTGTCGACCGAGTGTCTATTGGGTAGCCCATGGCTCTTCACTGGTTCGTGTTGCACCCGAACACATACGACCTGAGCTTCCTCGCGAGAGACTTGCCCGGTTGGAGCATTTTCCCGAGACCGCTTTGGATCGTCCTGTGCAGGACACCATTCGTCAGGTCTTACAACCTGTTCGCGGCCCCGTCCATTTTTTGGATCTTGCTCCTGCTGAAATTTCATCGTCCTCTGGGGGTACCTCTTTCGCGAATGCTTCGAGTGCTCAGCCTGAACAACGACCACCTTCTTCTGCTGTGGCACCAACGGCTGATAACCTTGAGGACCCCAATGACGAGAAGGAAGCCAAACTGAATGATCTGACGATTGAGGAGCCGATCCCTAGCATTCCTGAAGAAGGTGATCAAAACATGCCGGAAGAAAAGCAGGAAGCCGAAGAGTCAAAAGAGATCTCACAAGAGCCTGAGGTGAAGCAAAGCAGAGAAAGATCGAGGAGCCCACCTATGAGAGATGAGAAGGCACAAGCCTTCAGATCTTACAACATGGCACGTCAGCTAGATGGCATGGGTCCTGTGGCAGAAGACGACCCTGGTTTTCAACGGATGTGGCAAAGTAGTCAACCCATGGAGGAGGACGAAGAGCTGATGGCCGACACCTTCAATGAGAAGAAGCTAAGTGCCGAAGAGAAGAAGGAGTTCGACTTGGCCAAAGACAAGGCCTTACAGGTATGGCTGGACAATGCTGCCTGGAAAGCTGTAAACGAATCCGAAGCTCGTGAAGGTGAAGTCATTCCAGCACGATTTCTCCAGAGATGGAAGCCCACCAAGACTGGAAAAGTGGCGAACGCCAGAGTCATCATCCAGGGCTTCCGCCATAAAGATGTGCTGACTGAAGAGCTAGATCGTGAGTCACCGACTTTGAGCAGGACCGGTCGCATGTTGATTTTGATTTGGGCATGTCAATTCAGCTGGAAAGTGTTTGCAGCCGATGTCAAGAGCGCCTTCATGCAGTCCAAATCCATTGATGAGCAGACCCGCATTTTCATCAGGCCAACTGCAGAGATGAGGAGACGACTGGAGCGCTTGATGGGCCTGAAACCTTGGGAGCTGCTCAAAGCAACGAAGCCAGCATTTGGCGATGTTCGTGCCCCTCGTCAATGGTACGAATCTGCTCGAGAGTTTTTGCTGGAAGAAGCCAAGTTTTTGGTGCATCCTCTGGACAACTGCGTTTTCTTGAGTTGGAGAAGGGCGTACAGTGATGATCCCGAGTTTCAGGTGTTTTCGCATGGTGGTGTGCCCAGCATTGTCGATGGTATTTTGGGACTTCATGTTGATGATTTCCTAGGCTGCGGAGAAGGAGTGAATTCCGTTGAAGATGCAACCGGAGCCAATGTGACGGAGGAGGAAAACTTCGAATGGTGCTTCAAGAAGAGGTTGCAAATGCTCTCAAAGAAGTTCAGATTTGGCTCCTGGGACTTCGGAAGGAACTCACAGATTCTTTTTTGTGGCACATCCATCGAACAGAGCCTGAACAATGACGTGATAACTTTGTCGCTCAAAGAATACGTCCACAAGATCAAGCCCATCACTCTTGACAAGAGCCGAAAGACCATGAGTGATGCCCCGCTCGAAGAGAAGGAAGTGAAGATGCTCAGAGCTTTGATCGGAGCTTTGGCTTGGCCTGCTGGCCAGTGCCTTCCTCAGCTGTCAGCCTCAATTTCTTTGCTTCAGGCCTCTTCTAGTTCCCCAACGGTCAATGACATCAATGTCGCCAACAAGCTTTTGAGGTTTGCCAAGGAGGTGGTGCAAGGCTACAACATGACTCTTCGACGTCATGGATCCTCTTTGGCCGAGCTTCGTTTTGGTGTATACATGGACGCCAGTTGGGGCATTCGGCCTGATGGAGCTTCCCAAGGCGGTCACGCCATCTTTGTTGGAACCGAGGCTGAGATGACCGATGGCAAGCCATTTCCTGTGACGTTGGTCAGCTGGCACTCAAAGAAATTGACGAGAATGTGTCGCTCGTCCCTGTCTGCTGAAGCACAGTCTGCAGCTGGTGCCATCGATGAGACAGAATGGACGAAGATTTATGCTGCGGCCATGGTTTGTCCCACAGTGCCGATCGCAGAGGAGAGCACTTTGAGGATGTTCGGACAGACCCCAGCTTTGACAGATGCAAAATCTTTGTTCGACTCAGCCCGCTCTGTGTCCGCTGGTCTACGTTTGACCGAGAAGAGGACGGCCATTGAGGTTTGCATCGTGAAGGAGCGGCTCAACGCCATGTTGGGCTATCTGAAGTGGGTCAATTCCACTCAGCAGGTTGCAGACGGTCTAACCAAGCCGAGTGCAAAAGACCAGTTCGCTCACATACTCAAACGAGGAGTACATGCACTTCGGTATGACCCCAACTTCACGGCAGCCAAAAAGGTCTCCAAGGAGGTCAAAGCAGACGAAGAGAAGGAGCAAGATGAAGCTGCTTGGCGACTCTTCGATGGAGAAGTGCTGGAGGTTGAAGAGATCCCCAAAGAGATCTGTCAGTTGCCAGGTTGCGGCAAGAAGCTCACAACCGACCAAGGACACCATCGATATTGCAGTCGGAGACACTACTACAAAGACTATCATCGTCGAGGTCTCCGTGAAGATTTGTGGGAGAAGTCTGCAAGAGTGTCCGTGGCTTTGTTGGCTACGCATGCATTGAGCAAAGCTGGAGTTCAAGCTATGCCCTTGGACTTCGAGGAGAAGAACTTCAGAGATGAACGCCTGTGGTGGACTTTGTTGGTGGTGGTATTTTTTTCGTTTGTTGGTTTGCAGTTTGTGACCTACAAGGTCTATGTGTTTGTGACCACCTTTGGCCAGTTCGTGCTCAGGCGTGTGATCCCTCGCGCTGCAAGAAATGAGATTGAAATCCATGAGGAGCCTGAGAATGAAGCAGAGCCTGAGAATGACGACATGATTGTCAGGGATGAGAGCACACAGTATGACGAAGTCCCTGAGATTGACTCGCTGCCGCGCCATGGCGATCTTGGAGAAGAAGAGCTGGCAGTGGATGAAAGAATCAGCGACGCTGGAAGTTCCTCTGTGAACGACGACCCTGAAGTCAATGAAGCTGAATGGATTCGCTGGAACCAAATCAAGGAGAGTGTCGAAAATGAGGTGAACCAACGACGCTGGAAGCGCTTTCTGAGAGAAGTGGTTGGCGACGATGAGAACATGCAGATTGATTCTGCGCTGCGTGGAGTGATCATCCAAGAGAATTGGACCGACACTCGATGTCGCACCTACAAGAAACTCCTGGACATTGAGGACACAGTGAACTGCACCTCTGACCAGATACGGCTGTGGAATCGTTTGTACAACGACCGGCTACTGTTCATGATCGAAACGGACATGCTGGTGAAAAAGCAAAGAGAAGAGATCGAAAGCCTTGAAAGAAGCTGCAGAAAAGATTTCTGGACTATGAAGTTCAGGACAAGCAGATCCAAACCCCGCTGACGCTGGACCCTGAGAGAAACAAGTTTGTTTTGCTGCCTGAGAAGCAGCATGGTGCTTGGTTGTTTTGCAGTCCCTACTATCCTCACCGCGATTGACGATCGCGAAGGGCCATTTTTGAATTTTCCCCATGACTTGATTCGGTCGAGATGGGTCTGAAGAAACGACTTTCCTCCCGTGTCAATGTCACGAATGCACATTGGTAGATTTCATGTTTTCCGTTCGCTGTTGGGCTTACGAGGGCCCTTGACCGCCAATCGACCGCTACGCCTTTTGCAGAAATCGCTGCGCTTTTCACTTCGACGGGATCGAGACTTCGAGGGCTTGTCATCCCCTACAACGAGATGGCCTTCATACGCATCCACATCAAAAACATAATTTTGCGTCCCCTCGCGCAGCAGCATTTGCACTGCCTCACTTGGATCCCCTTTGTTTGTGAAAAATCGACCAGCAAAGGTGAATTCCCCTATTTTCATACAAGATCATTTTGATTTTGTATAACTGATTGATTGATTGATTGATTGATTCATTCATTCATTCATTCATTCTGCTCCCTCCCAGCTGGGGCCTCCTGCCGAGAGACAAAGACTCGTGGGACGTACGTCACGCGATGAACCAGCTCGCTGATGAACCAACCGCGGTGACGGTGGCGATGTTTTGGCACGTCTGCGGTTTGTTTGGTTCAAGGACCTCCCAAAAGTATGGAAACCTTGCCCTACAAGGTCCACCCCCAAAAAAATAATGACGGCAAAACCTGCTCCTTGACCTCATTGAGTAGCGCGTTTTTGTATGATCAATTCCAGCTCAACTGAAGTCTTTGGCCTATAGGTTTGCATTTAGCATCACCTGTGAACACTTGGTGGGACTGAAAAGGGCGACGGGTCAAACTGAGCCGAGCAAATGGATCTCCTCTGTTACCATACGCTACAATGGAACAAAAAAGTCAGAGATGGCCCGGTCCTTGAAATGATGCGAGTGAACCACACATTTCACGGCGGCAGGCTGCCCGGCGAACCCTGACGAGCCCGAGGCAAACCTGTCGGCCGCCTCCCGACTACATTTGTCAAAGCATCAGACGGCTCAGAAAGCCAAAAGTGACTGTGCCCCACAAAGCCTCAGGCTTGTCGTTGGCCTTTTCAGGCTTGTCGGTGGCCTCCTCAGGCTTGTCGTCCGCCTCCTCAGGCTAAGCGAAGTCAGAGGTGAAGTTGCACAGCAGCTTGGTGGAGCGGTATGAGGGATGGGTGGACTTTTTGGCTCACCCGTGAACCAGCCTGCCGGTGCTTCAGCTGCCCCAGGGGATCTTGTGTGCATCCGTTTTCTCTCTTGGACATCGGCGACTTACCCTGCTACATGACTGGGAGAGCCTAGCACGCAAGCTAGCGAGTGCAAAATCAGGACCATGGAGTGAAGGTGTAAAAAGCAGTTCATCAAGTTAAATGATGCATTGTCTTACCTTGCCATGCGTTTTGGATCACGAATTCGTGGCCGAACGGGCCTCTTGTTTGCCACTCAAACGGGGTTCATCCACAATGGGAGCGGCCCATAAGGATTGTGAAATCACAAACTCTAGAAACCGGTAGGTCCCGGCCGGAGGAACAAACACTGCCATGAACATTTGCTGACAAGCCTGACACAACTCATGCTAAAAGTCGGTTTTTTTTGCGACAAGCTCATGCTATGTGTCACAACTTGGGTGGAACTCAAGGAATGATCAACGGTGGTTGTTGGAAGGCGTTTCTTCCATGATGGGTCACACTGAACACATACCGTCATACTCAGCTTTCACCGAGCAGGTGGATGATCCCACGCAGCTCTACAATGCCTCATTCGTCCACCGCTGTCCTCCTTCGGTGCCTCCTCCTTCGATTCCTCCTCCTTCTGTGCCTCCTCCTTCGGTGCCTCTTCCTTTGCTGACTCCACCTTGTAGCCGCGGGCGAGCAGATTTGCCACCTCTGAACCGAAGTCACATTGCTTTTTCCTCGGCGGGTTTCGAAGTGAGGAGCCTGACAAACCCCGCGGGCAAAAAGGGACTATACATCACGTTTTCCTGACCAAGTGAGTTTCCTCCGCTGCGGTGAGTTCCAGGTTTTGAGTGATTTGGTGTTGGGTGTTGAGTAGGAGGTTGAGGTCTCTTGGAGAAGCGGCTGGCATCGCCCTACGAGGTGAAACGTCCACCTGCACCCCCCATTTGGGCACACTTCAAATCCTGAAAGGTAGGAACCTCATTGGCGTTCGGTCCATCCAGCTCGACGGTGGACAACTTGCTGAAGGACTCCGCTCAGCTCAAACCTCCCTGGGACCTCCCCTGGGACCTAAGACTGGTGCTGGTCCTGGTTCATGACCACCTGGCAGCCCTGGCATCACCCGAACAGGCCTGAGCGACCACCTTCGCCACCGGCAGGTCCTCTCAAGGAAATGGCGAGAAGAACAACACCAATGACAACTGCCCACGACAAGGGACCAATAGACCCCACGACAAGGCACGTCCTGATCATGCAGGCCCTGACACTTTTAAAAAGTCCCACCATTGGAACGTCGATCTCTTGCGATCTCGAAAACGAAGGGGCTTCCTCCCGTCCAGCATGAAAAAGCCCTGACATGGACGAGGGTGTGCAGTGTGCAACCTTGGGTTGCTCAAAAACCTGTGTGAGCCTGTATATATATATATGTATGTATGTATGTATGTATGTATGTATGTGTGTGTGTGTGCACACTCCCCGCTCTCAGAAGACTTCCCGCACCACCAAAAGCATGCCATCGGATTCCTCATCGCTTTCGCCCTGGCGCGTCGTGTCGGGACATCCGGCCGGTCCGGTCCGGCGGAGGCGCAACGGATCCTGCGGGTCCCGCGTCCCGTGCTGGGCGGGACCGTTTGGGGTGCCCCCAGAGGCCTGAAGGACGTCATGGGTTGGACACGTGAGGACACCTGGAGGCCCCGATCGCGCGCGCCGCCCATCCGATCGGACCATCTTCCCCAAATCCACCAGAGCGACCCAGAAAGGGCTGATCTTGCAGAAAGGTCGGGAGGGGAGTTGCTTGGTTCTTATTTGTGGGTTGAGGGTTGTAAGGGCTCTGCTTTTCCGCTGCTTGGAGAGGATGCTGTTGGAAGAGGGGAAGGCAGGTGAAAGTTTTTCTTTTCCATGACCAATTGACCATAAGAGTTGGACCTTTGTAGCTGCGTAGCTGCTAGAGCCACGCGCACGAGCCACATGCCGGAGTGGTCGGCCTTGTCGTCTTCCTCATTGGCCTCTTCGGTTGGCTCCTGGCAGTGGCTCCAACGATGTCCAACGGGCCTTCAATGGGCCCAAACAAGGTAGGCATGTTCAACGTGGGGGCCCACTGGCCCAAACGAGGAACGAGGAGGAAGATGAGGAGGGCATGAAGAAGCAAGGGCTTGTGTTGATCATGAGGCCAGTCGTTCGGTTCGAAGTATCCTAACTCACCTTCCGGTCAACCTCGCTCAGGTGTGAGTGGTGTGGAACTCAGAAACGGACAAATGCTAGGCCCGGCTGCACAGTTGCCCGTGTAGATTTGCTGACCACAGAACGGAAGTCGGCAGCATCTCTGCATCACCCACATCCACAAGCAGCAAGTATTCCACCCCCAGGCCCCAAAAATCCAACCCAATCAGCCAATCGAGCGAACCCAATCTAGCACACACCCCGTTGTTGGCCCTAAGAAAATACATGAAACTACGCACGGTCCATGCTCCGCTCAAGAAGGTGCCCGTGTGTTCCACCCCAGTTCACGTCCGGATGTGTCCGCCACACCCGCCGATCACGTGATGGTCCCAAAACAAAGGAAGAACGATCTCCTGGGAGCCTGGTCGAGGAGTGTACCTGGGCGGGCCAGGGTCCCCAGATCTCCCATGCTTTGCCCCAAACAAAGTGGGGCTTATGGACCTGATTTGGGACATCAGGAATGGACCTGATGTGGATGACATGATGACCCTCCACGGTTGACAGGGTACTGGGCAGCTGCTGGAGCGCTGCAGCCCTCACGCGATCGATCTGCGGGGGTCTCCGCCCCAAAATCTCCGCCCAAAATCATCCAATCATCATGAGACTTTGAAAGAAACCCAACGTTTTGTTGGGGTCCCAAGCGGACCAATCGAAGGTTCTGAGTTGAAGTAGGCGACTTGTTCCAGGGACTAGCTGGATGGTCTGAACCCCTGCCAGCCCATCTGCGACAGAACTTTTTGTCCTACCGGCGACGCTTGAAGATCACCTCCGACGCTTGGTAACACGGTGGGGACCTTGCTGAGTGGGGCCAACGCCACTTTAAGGGAGGCTCTGGTGCAGGGGAGGGTGATATGGGAGTCGGAGACTTCTTGCTTGGCGTCCTGTCCACTAGCGGCTTTGGCTTTGGTGGAGTTGGAGGCGCTTGGTTGACCACAGGTTGAGGCTTTGGTTTGGGCGGGGTGGGAGGCACTTGGTTGACCACCGGCTGAGACTGTGGCTGCGGTGGAGTTGGGAGGGTGACACGGGAGCCAGAGGCTTCTTGCGGGGACCCGGCTGGGTGGGGCCAGTGCCACTTTGAAGGAGGCTCTGGTGCAGGGGGGGGTGACACAGGAGCTGGAGACTTCTTGCTCGGCTTCCTGTCCACCAGCGGCTTTGGCTTTGGTGGGGTTGGAGGCACTTGGTTGACCACAGGCTGAGGCTGGGGCTTTGGTGGGGTTGGAGGCACTTGGTTGACCACCGGCTGAGGCTGTGGCTTCGGTGGAGTTGGAGGCACTTGGTTGACCACCGGCTGAGGCTGTGGCTTCGGTGGAGTTGGAGGCACTTGGTTGACCACCGGCTGAGGCTTTGGTTTGGGCTGGGTAGGCGCTTGCTTGACCACGGGCTTCGGCTTGGGTTCTTCCGCCTGCACGGAACGGCAGCACGCGAACATGCCAAATGCCGCAGCATGCATGCCTCAGGATCTTGGCACCAGATGTTCTATGAATTGCACGTCGTTTCCGCACAATGTGTCGGTGTAGATCATCTGCAGGTGCTGTCTAGAATCCGAGGTGTCCTCAAAACCCTGCTTATCATGAGAATTGCCTGAATGAAATGCACCGGCGGGACACCCCCGCACCTGCGGCCCTGCCTCCTCTTCATCTTCCTCTTCGCGAAGCTCTTCGTCGGGCACCTCCTCACACATACAAACGAGGCCATACCTGAGCCATTGGGCTGCGAACGGGGCGGCGGAGGGGCACCAAGTTGGTTCAGCGCAGTGCAGTACATGCGTTTTAAGAAGCCATAAATCTGGATTGGGCATACAAATGTCTTCCAAAACAACTGCACCAGAAATGTACGGGGCATACATTGGAGAAAAAAAGAAAACATCCAAAACCAACATACATGCATGTATCAAATCTCTTGGTCTGCGCGGATTTCACAAACTCCATGATCTTCGCAGATTTCCCCTTGCGACCCTGCTTTATTTACTTCGGCGCCGCCAATGGTCTTCGGTGCCGCAATGCTGCATTAGGTTGCGTTTCAATGGTAGAAAGCTTTGCAAACAAAGGGATTCAAGGTGCAGTCCCCCATGTAAGATGGCTCACTCTGCCACACCGGCGCCATCTGACACTCCTGCCAGGTCGTGCGCCATGTTTTTCACTTTGAACATGTTGTTCAACACGGGGTGCAGCAACACTTGCGGAACCCGACCAGAATAGATCCACCTTCGACCATGGTCGATCTGTTTGCACACCTGCCAGGCACCGAAGCGTTTTGGGGCTCATCTGGTCGACTCCACTGGCAACTCTCCCCCTCATGGCATCCTTCCACCGGTCACCAGGGAGCCCCCACCCTTCAGGACCACGATCGGCCACATGGGGGAAAAACCCGTCCACCCACCCAACCCTCCAAAGGAAAAGGTTCTGCACTCCAAATGGGGAGCTTGATGAATCAGGAGGCTATCGTTTCCCAACCGAGCCCAGCTTGCCAAAGCAGCTAGCAGCTGGCGCCAGGTGGCTCTTGGAGGGCCTCCACCACATCCTTCGCGCGCTTCTCTGTGCATCGGTCCACCAGGATCGCCTCGCGATGTGTCGGCGGCACGAACGGGGGGGCGAGGGGAGAGACCACCGCTATAAGGGAACAGAGACCACCGTACCAGGGAGGTCAACCTACCAAGGTTTGGTCCAGGGATTGGTTTCTCACAAGGGTGAATGAAGCAAACAGGATTGACCAACGCTCATCCGGATTTGGTCTCACGCAGGATTCTTTGGAACCGAGGGTCATTGTTTGGTGATGTGCGTTCCTGTGAGTCGTGATGTGGGTGAAGCACGACAATGACAACGACTCGGTCCCTGCTTCTAAAACATCTCGTCGCCAACCAACGACTCCTGGCTGTGGCGAAAAAGCATCCCCTCGCAACATGCAACCAACATCTTCCTTCCTATTCTCGGTCGGGGCATCCAATGGTTTTGCCGCAGTCGAGTGAAAAACGTGACGGTGTCACAAATTCATGCAAATTCTTCCTTTGATCCATGCCACGTCTGGTCTCACAAAACTCTCTAAACCCCGCATGATGTCAATGGCACCACACGCCGTGCCCAAAGAATGGGTCATTGAACCTCCAGAATACCTGCGATTTCCATCACGGACGTCCTGAACACCTTTTCATCAACGGACGAACCCCTCGGCTCACGGATCGAGATCCCGTCCCGCCTGTCCCACTCCAATCGGATCCTTGGTGGCCTGGCAGTCAAAAAACTCGTCCAAGTGGCAGCCAATCCGTTGAAGTCCTTTGAACTAGGATCGTCATGTTTCGAAGGCAAACCCACCCCTCGGACCCTTGGGTTCTCCTTCTGCAAGATGCCTGCATCCCAAGAAACGAATCCCAAAGCCGAGCACCTCGGTGGATGAGGGTGACTCCTGTGACTCGCGCCTCTTCGAAGGCACTGAGGATGACTTCGTGGGAAACGTCCGGCAGCGTCTCCAACATGAAGCCCACAAAGTACTCCTGGCAGGAGCAAGGACGCTACTAGGGGCTCCTGGCATCGCTACTGGGAGCAAGGACGCTGCTAGGAGCAAGGAGTCACAGGGAGTTGGGTGGTGTTTTGTGGATGTGACAGGGGCACCCCTATCCGCTATGGATAGCACCCCTTTGTGACTCCTGGTGGCGCTGTCTGTTCTTTGCACAAAAGTAAGCTACACTTCTGGTGGGGTAGCAGGGTGCTCTCTTGGCCAGCCTGCAACGCTCACTTCTTCCAATGAGGCCGGCAGAAGGCCTCGTGCTAAATCATGGCCAAATGCACCAGGTCTTTTGCACGTGTTCCCCCTTTGAATCGGCTTCCGCGCGGCCGGTCGGACGAAGCTCCGCCCCGGACCGTCCATGGGCGTCCTCCATGGGCGAGCTGGCTTCGGATCCGTCGGCATCCGCCGGGTCCGGTCCTTCATCTTCCAGAAGTGGTGCCCCGTGTAGCCCACACCTCGGGGGGGCGCGGGAGCGCAGCGCGGCAGTCGACCACGGCCGGTGATCAAGCACTTCAATGTGGGTCGTCAAGAGAGGAACTTGCGATCAATACATAGACCCACCAAATAGATAGAAAAGTAGATGTCCGCATAGAAAATGTATTGGAAACTGTGTCACTATCTATTTGGGGACCACTATAGCTATATAAATGTATATAGCTTCAGCAGTGGATGGCACTGGCACCCCGACATGTATTTCTTTTCGTAAGTGGGGATCCATTTTGCCATCTACTCTCCATCCACTACAGTGTTGTGTGCCTCGCGGTGTGCTGATGATTGGCAGCCGTTGCAAATGATCAGGTGGCAACACTGCCGGACTCCGAACAGCACAAACTCTCTCCTTCAGTTCTTCAGCCCTTCTCCATAAGTCTCTAAGGCCAAAAAAGCCCCACTATGAACGCCTTCAGCTCTTCAGGTGGTCAAACAAGGCCCCCACGTAGCCACATCACCTTCCATCCCCTCTGTGCAGGGACCAGCGGCGCACCCGCCAGGGCGGGGGCATGATGATCCGCTCGCCGTTGAACTCGAACTCGGCCAGGCCCGCCAAGCCTACCAGCCGAGGACAGCTGTCCGAGGGGAGGGGCCCAAAGACTCGGCCAGGCATCGAAAACAGGGCACCCAAAAATGAACCCAGCTTGGCAACCCAACTGTGGACCACTCCCAGCCCCAGAGATTGAAACCCAACTGCATGCAGCTTTTGGGAATAAAGAAATACCAACCGCAAGCCACGGTGAAATGAAGAAAAAGGTCACATCCAAAACCTGCTTGACCGTCAGGTTTGGATCTCGCTCAATCTTTTCGATGATCCGACCCCCGATCTGGCGAAGCTCCATCTGGCATCATCTGGGCCCGGGCCTCGCAAGTCATAGGCTTGGCGCTTCTTGGGATCCGTGAGAACCTCAAAGGCCTTGTTCACCTGCCGCGCAACCGCGAAACCGACAGCCTCTGAGAGCTGTTACCGGCAACACCTATGCGAGAGCTCCCAATTGAGAGCGGTGCTGATTCGGCCCGGTCCCATCAAATTCATTCATGCATTGTCGGTCGATCTGCCCTCATCGACGGTGGCAAAAAACACATCGACCTCACCCCACGCTGCGCCTGGGTGAAACGCTCCTGTGCTTTTTCCCGCTCCTGGCGGCGTCTTCGGCGGAACCGCATGTGGGGGGAGGCACATGTTCTTGACGGAAGACTGAGCTGCAACTGGAGAATCACCCTGACACTAGAATGCTGGAAAACAAACTTCCTGTTCAAAACAGAATGGTTCGGCTTGGCAGAGTGGTATGGTAGGGAAGGTAGGAACTACAGTATATCAAATTCTTTCATCTGGCAGAGGCAAGTCCCTCAGGACGCTATGCCATATGGCCGTCCCCTATCACTGTCTGCTCAGCCAAAACCTGCTCTGGCGGCCTCCTTCGGCTTTGTCCGAAAGAAGTCGGGATGCGTGAGGCGGGCCGCTTGTCCTGAGCAGGGCGCTGCCCTCCACAACTCATTCCAACCACACCCGCGCAAAACCCTCCGAACTCCATATCCCTGCATCCACCCCATCCCAACCTCCCACCCCACCAAGCACCCACCGCACCAAGGCACGGTATGCCGCCTTGATCTCCTTCACGTCCGCCTCCTCGGAGACACCAAGCAGTTCATAGAAGTCCTCCACCTCGACCGGCTCCGTCTCCGTCTCGAAGGCCGTCTCCGTCTCCGTGGCCACCTGGCGCCGAGTCGGGCCGCGCGGGTCCACCAGCGGCGACGGGGGGCGTCCGGACGTTGAGCGCCGCCGGTGCCCAACTCCCCTCCATGTGACGCCACGAAGCACACCCCGCAGGTAGTGGTTTTCGAATCTGTCGGTAAACCTGGGTACACCCCTTCACACCTGTCCGGGGCTCGCACCAAAAAGGCTTAGTCAAGCTTGGTTAATGGGTTGAGCATCTTCCAGTTTTCTGTTGAGGTCTGCTGGATCCATTCTTCATGCGTCTTGGAAACAAGTGGCGATGTTGCACGAAGACCCTCCGTGTCCCAAAAGACAGGTACGGTAGTACGGTATATCAATATATAACTCTAAGAAATAGAGTGCACTCAAACTTGGAGACACGACTCAAAACTGTTTTGTCTTCTCAAAAGAAACATGTGTTTCTTTGACATGTCCTACTCGCACCCATGCCACTCACCTCTTGTCAAACCCACAGATACACCTCCCCGAATTGAGATCTCCAGGTGCTCCCGCAACTGTTTCTTGCCAATTCTGTCTTGCTTCGATGCGTCCGTCTTCAACGGCATTTGGAAATTCCTCACAGGTTAGCACAATGGGCCCATAAGCTGTTTCCACACCTCTGGCATCTCTTCTGAGATCAGTTTCTGACCGACACAGGGCCTACGACGTTCCAACGCAGCTGCAAAGTGCAGGTAACTCCTGGCACGTTCTTGAAGAATGTAGTGCTGTGCTGGTGTAGCTGCCGTGGAAACCGCTTGCATCGTGCACATCGCCATGACCTCCATGTGTGATCCGTCCAAAACTCCGCCACCTTTTGGAAAACGTTTGAGGATGCCCTGCCATCCCAGCAAGTGCATGTTGCAGGCCCTCGGCACGTTCTTCCCCTCACGTGCAGGTGTCACGAAATGTGAGGCAAAGGGATTTCTGAACTCAAATGCAACCTTTGCACGGAAAACTTCGTTTCCCTCGACAATCATCTGTTTGGTATCATTCAAGTCTTGTTCTGAGAAGCAGGTGAGGGCCAAGGGGACATCTTCGTGCAAGAGAAACTGTAGAGTTGGCCACCATGGATAAGTGCTGTCGTGAAAGCCAGGGTGGAAAGCCATGACCAAACTCGGCGAAGAGTACAAGTCACTGGCTAGAAACTCGGCGTAAGTCCCACGAAAATAGAATGATGAAGCGTGTCCACGTTGAGGCTGTGACCGCAAACGTTGGAAGTGTTTGGCGTGTTCCTGCAATCCTTGGTCTGATGCTACATTTGAGGGACCAATGTAGACGAGCAACAACTGAGACAAGCCGACCAGCGTCTGCAGCATGCTCTGAATTTCTTGCGCATAATTTCCTTCCTTGTCGGCCTCTGCACCAATCACATGGATCACGAGAGTTGTGTCCTTACCGCTGGGCAGGAGGCCAAAGGAACGTAGAGAATGAAAGAGCGTCAGAGGGTAGGATGCAACTTGGCTGGCCAATTGGTGCAAGACTTCATCCTCCGCAGTCTCCAATTGGTCTCCAGCGATGATGCGACGGAAGGTTTCCAGAGAAAACACCCGACTGACAGGATCCCGTGCCCAATCCTTGGGGCCAACGCGCCAAAAAACCATAAAGAATTCTTGTTTCTAATAGCTTTTTGTTGCTAGTAGTAAGGCCAGGAGCCCCTAGTAGCGTCCTTGCTCCTAGTAGTACGGCCGGGAGCCCCTGGTAGCTTCTTGTTCCTAGTAGCGATGCCAGGAGCCCCTAGTAGCGTCCTTCCACAAAGAATTGGTCCCTGCCCTTTGGGGAACTTCGAAATCGGAATTTAATGTTGCTTGGTCAAACCTCGCCTAGGGGATGCGAAAGTCGCACACAAATTGACACCGGGCATGAAAAGAATCCACGCCTTGGCAAGAACCCAAGCATCGGAAGAACTAGATGTCACAAGCTTCACCCAATCTCCCCAAGTTGCAATGGATGCTGCTTGCGCGGATCGGTCGGTGACCTGCGGTTCGCGTCTGGGAAGCTCGCTCGGTGTTCGACAAAGCTGCGGGAGATCCTTGAATCCGTGAAGAATACACGTTGTACACAGTTTGCAATATTGGGGTTTGCCAGCATACTTGGAGTTTTCTGCCACGTGTGGATCAAAAAGAGGTTTGTTGCTAAAACCGGCTGAATGGCTTTGATTTCCTCTAAGTGCCCACTTGGATGGTCGTTTTTTGGTTTCTCCTTGGCGCTGGACCTGTGAACACACCTCATCTTGTCGTGATCTTGGTATGGTGGACTTGTAAGCGCGTGTAAGCGCGGCGCGCCACTGGTGAGCGGGACGCTTGGTGGTGTCAATCGGGCTTGGTGTCACATGATTTCATCCAGTCTGTGGCACACTGCGGACTAAATTACGTCTGCAATGTTGCTGTGCCATGTGGATTGCGGCGGCCGAGTAAGAGGGTCCCACAAGAGGGTCTGGCCCACAAGAGTGTGCTACAAGAGGCTCACACAAGAGTCTCCCCGCAAGGCTGTCGTGCAAAACAGCGTGAGGCAAAGGTGCACAAGCGTGTCCTAGAAGAGTGTCACCCCAGAATAGAGTGTGTTTGAAGAGTGTCAAGCAAGAGTGTCAAACAGCTTTTGACCGGTTGTGTTTGTGTAAGTGTGTGCATTCAGGTTCGTGGGTTTCTGTCCAGGTTTTTTCTCACCCTGTCTTGTCAATCTTGCAGGTCCTGGCCTGGGATGGGAATTCAAACCGCGTGATGCCATCGATCAGGATCCGGTATCCATGAAACCGTCCGTGCGCATCACAGCAGCCTCGCCACAAGCGCCCGGACTCATTAAGTTCATCAAAAGCACGGACGGCCCGAAAAGCCTTGCACACAGCTCCTTAGAGTTCCGCGAAACCAGGTGTAAATTCCGTAAAGGCATCAACGTTCATATGACAAAAGCAGAACATATGTATAGTTTACTGTATATTTACTGTATTTATACAGACACCTACATGATATAGATATGTGTAATATAAATATTCATGTACGTGTATATCGGATGCGTTTTGTGGTGTTCTTCCAACTTGTCAGCTTACCATCAATCAGTAGTCAGTCACTGTCAGTCAGCATAGAACAGCACAATTCAAAAGAGTTGGCCTTAAGGTGTTTTCGGACGCTTGAACTACAATGCACCGGTTAAAGCTAAGCAGGCCGAGGCTTCCGTGCGAAACAGCATCGCGCGCAAGGCAGGCAGGGCCACAATAGCTTACCATCATGCACTCTTCACATTTGCTGAGCTTTCGGGTTGGCCCGCAGGCGCCGCATGCACAACAAAAGGGCTCGACCGCAAGATCTTCGCGCAAGAAACCTTTCGTCTCTGGCATGGATTCCAACCTTGCTCTGCGCTCCTCGATGTGTTTCTTCTTGTCTTTGCTCAGACATTTGCAGCCATCTAGGACAACATCGTATGCGCGCACAACCTCACCTAAAGCTTCCAGCGCATCAATTTTACGAAGCCAGCCCTTCTCCCAGGTTATGTCCAGTTGCACGCACTTCTCTGCATCTGTCAGCGCCTCTCGTGCAGAACCTCGTTGCAAGCGACTGGCCGACCGATTGCTGTAAATCACCTTCAGCGTCTCAAGGTCAGATGCGGTTGCTAAGAAGAACAGCAGCGTGGTCCAAATCTGCTCTGCTTTCTCCAAGTCACCACACTTTTGCAGCTTCACTGCTTTCCCATTCATTTCCCGGCACCAAACACCGGCCTCCTGAGTGCGCCGAAGGTTCGCTGGCCTCACCTTGACTGACTCCTCGCAGGGGTCCTCACCCAACACCACCACCCAGCGATCCCCGTCTACCTCGCGCAAGCGGCCCTGACGACCATTGAGGTCAACGCGGCTTGACAAGTGCTGCTGAAGTTCCACGCCATCCCCGGGCGAAAGGGACATGGCCAACCGAGGCTCCTCCAAATGGGTTACAAAGAAGAGTTGGAATCTGGAAACAGGTTCCGTCACTTCCCGGCAAACTTGGGGAAATGATTCCTTTTCGTTTCCGTAAACACGGTCTCCACTTGTTGCTGGTCCGCATGAATAGCTTGACGAAGTGCTTTGAATTGTTTCGTGTGAATGTTCCCAATCATCTTTCTTCGAGCGACTTGTGTCCAGTGAAGATTCTACGAAAGCTATTCTTCTGAGCCGCCCACCCCAAAGTTGAAAGTCATTGTGGGGGGTCCAGGCATGGATTTTCTCTATGTACTTCTGGGAACCGAGTGGTTTGGATCCAGAATTCGCCCAGCTCCACGTTCCCTGGTAGCCCAGCCAGGGAGCAGTCACCAGCAAAACATGTGGGGTCTCACAAATTCAACGCCCTCCTAAGCCATGAGGAAGACCTCTATGTCCACCTGCAGCCCACTTCCGATGCCCCAAACTCCTCACCCTTCCTTCCCCTCCCTGGCGCGCCCCGTGCTCCGAACGCGCCTGCCGCCGCGTGCGGCATCCGCGGGGCGCGTTCGCACCCAGCGGCCCGACGAAGGTGGCCGTGAAGAAGCACAGCGCCTCGGATCATTGACCCCTGGCGCCCGAAGTTGGAAGGCCAAGCTGTGGGGCCGGGGGCCGGTGAGGGTGCCATGCATGGCGGCCATGGCGGGATCTCTCTATATAATTACACCACCGTAGACCCCAAACAGTTTGTGTTTTTCAAAATCGA